AATTCTATGAGGTACCTGCCATTACTGTCCCCACCTTACATACGGGAGGACAGAGGGATTAGATAATCTGCCGAGGGTCACACAGAGGAAGTACCGAACCAGGCTTTGAATCAAAGCCGCCCATCTTAGGGCTGGCTCACATGGTAGAGCATGGGATTCTTCATCTTGAGCCCCATGTTGGGTGTAGAGTTTATTTAAAAACAAACAAAAAAAAGCTGTCCATCTCTAGAACCCACACTTTCACAACTACTACATGTTTTGCTGTGTGAATCTATTTTTTTTTTTTACTTTTTTTAAGGCTTTATTTATTTATTTATGTAATCTCTATACCAAACATGGGGCTTGAACTCATGACCTTGAGATCAACAGTCACCCATTCTACCAACTGAGCCAGTCCGGTGCCCTTGAGTGAGTCTGTTTTTAAAAAGAAGACTGTTTCTCGCCCCCGCCCCCAATATATATATAAAGCTTATTTATCTTGAGAGAGAGAATGTGCATGCAGGGGAGGGGCAGAGAGAGAGAATCCCAAGCAGGCTCCATGATGAGCTGTCAGTGCAAAGTCCAGCATGAGGCTCGATCTCACGAACCATGAGATCATGACCTGAGCCGAAATCCAGAGTTGGACGCTTAACTGACTGAGCCGCCCGCCCAGGAGATGCCCAAAAATGTATTTTTGAACAATTCCAAATTAGATCACCACAGAGAAAGTACTTTGTAATATGGACTTTAATGTTGGATTCTTCTGCCTCTCTTGCATATGACCTAGGGAAAGATAGCTAACTTAGATTGCTTCTAAGAGTTAAATAACCCTTGTTTAGGTGTATAAATAACCATGTAAACTGCCTCTTAGTGATAAAGCACAGTGTTACTAATTGACTCTTGGCATGAAGTCAAGAGAACTCTTTTCTTCCCCTTCAAGACACATACCTTTCCAGTTAAAGTTGAGAGATCATCTCCACCAATTACTTTTATGTCCCCTGTTGACTGGTCATTCTAGTTAAAAAAAAAAAAAGATATAAATACATATATGTATATCCTTTTGCGTACACACACACACATTTCAAATTATCAAATGGGACCTAGAAGATTTAAGAAGTTAGCTATCTAATGTCATATCATTATGATATTCTAAATGATACAAATTATTAAGAATTATGTTTCAAGAAATGAACAAGGTAACTCTCAGCTAGACATTAGTAAGAATTTTAAAGTTCTAATTGGCCATTACTGATTTGATGCCTTTAAGAGTCCTAAAAAATAGGAGACACACATTGTCAAGTGGGCAGTATTATAGCAGCCACCCATATTCAGTCACAGTAATTTCTGAACCGTGAAGGAAGTTATTAGCATGACAGATGTCTGGTTCTGGCCCTGGACCATTCCCATGAGTCAAGCAAGCTGTAGATTCTGGTCTATATCACACTCAACCCCCAAATACTGCCTTCAACAATCTAGGCAAGATCCACGTCATCTTCAACACAGTCTGGAGAAACAGGTCTGATTAGCAGTCCTTTAAGGCATACTTCTTAGGCTCCCAGTTTTCTTCTGTCACAGAATCCAGCAGAGACCCTTACAGGAGTTCAAAGGGAAATCCTCCTTATCCACTGTAGTTAGTGGTGATAATCATAATTTGGCTGTGCTAGAGCCAAAGAGCAGGTGAACAAGAGAGCTGAGCCTACCCTACCAGAGAACAGACCATACCACACCTACAGCAATTAAAACAACGCTGTACCAGCACAGTTACGAAGAGCCCACGGAACAGAATAGAGCCCAGAAACACACCCAGAAATATATGAGGATTTAGTATATGATAAAGACGGTATTTTAAGTCAGTAAGGAAAAGATGAATTATTCAATGAAGTAGTTATCCATTGGGGGGGGGGATAAAGTATGATCCCTACCTCACAGCATACCCAAAAATAAATTCCAGCTGAATTAAAATCTAAATGTAAAAAATAAAACCATAAGCAGACCGGAAGAAAACGTAGAAGAAATATTTCCACATTCTTAGAAAGGGTAAAAACCCAGGCATAACATGAACCCAAACTGAAAGAAAAGATCTGTAACAAATATTCCCATTATATGCTGGATTCCAAGAACAAGAATCCAATAGAAAATGAAGAACAAACACAAATAGGCAATTCACAGAAGAGAAGGCCGTAACATATAAAATGATATTGAGCTGAGAGACAAACACTGAAACGACGTGATTCTACCATTCATCCATTCACACTGGCAAAATTTAAGCCTGATGATATATGTTGACAAAAGTGAGGGGGAACAAGCACTCCCAGTGAGAGTATAAACTGGTACAAGCCTTTTTCAAAATGACATAGCAATACCTATTAAATTGTGAGCATGTGGGGCTCCTGGGTGGCTCAGTTAGTTAAGCGTCTGACTTCAGCTCAGATCATGATCCCACAGTTTGTGTGTTCAAGCCCCAGTCGGGTTCTGTGCTGACAGTACGGAGCCTGCTTGGGATTCTCTCTCTCCCCCTCTCTCTCTGCCCCTCCCCTGCTTGCTCGCTTTCTCTCTCTCTCTCTCTCTCTCTCTCTCTCTCTCAATAAATAAAACTTAAAAATAAATAAAAAATAAAATAAAATGAAATCGTAAGCATGTGTGCCATTTGCCCCAGCAATCCTACTGATGCTATAAAAACACAACTATGCAAAGATACATATAAAGGAGGTTCACTGTATCAACTATTTATAAAAAAGAAAAACTGGAGACAACCAACATGTCTATTAACAGGGACCTATTTAAATTAAATTCATCTGCAAAAGGTAATACTGTGCCACTATTAAAAAGAATCTGAAAATCTATACATGCTGACATGAACAATGGGAATTAAAAACGCCAAGTAGTAGAGCAATGTGTTGCCTATGAAACCACTTTTGTTCAGCATTTTAAACAAGTTTATAACATCAGTTACGTCTCAGTAGTGAGAAAGGGGATAACAAGGCTTTTTACCTTTATATACTTCCATTTTCATCATATGCTTCTTTACACATGTCCATTTTATATGGAGCATCATTTAAAAAAAAACACAACTGGGCCAAAACTATTCAGTGTTGCAAACTAAAAAGATCTAAGTATGACTTCTGATATGAAAAAATTCAAGCATATTACTTTTCAAGGAAATAATAGACACCTTTTATTCAACTAACTTAAAAGCTAGAATTTCAAACAGAGAGAAATGATTAATAGCAAAAAAAAAAAGAGAAAAAAAAGAAAGACTGTACAAAACCTGAAGCTTTCTATGAATGAATCATAGTAAATGATTTACATGGTACAGCAAAGTAGACAGTGACATCTTCTGTACAAGTTTGGTATTACAGTCCAATTCCAAATGCCATCCCCACCCCCCGCCTTTTTTTTTTTTTTTTTTTTTTT